ATTATCCCCCTTTGTTTATTTTTTACACTTTGAACTTTGTCCGGGACATATTTCTTAATGTATAAGAGATATCAACATGAAACTTTGTAGGTAGATAGATCTCATTGAGTAAGTTTGCAGTGCACAAGAACTGTAACACTTGTCTTGCCTTCTTTTGTAGTTATTGCCCTTTGCTTGTTCATTTTGACACTTTGAACTTTGTCTGGGACATTATTCTAAATTATAAGAGATATCAACATGAAACTTTGTAGATAGATAGGTCTCATTTGGTGGAAGTGCAGGTGCTTAAGAATCATTACTCTGCCTTGCCTTATTTTGAAGGTAATTGCCCTTTTTTTATTTTTACTTTTTGACTTTTGTCCTGGAACATTACTTTAAAACTATTAGAGATATCAACATGAAACTTTGTAGGTAGCTAGATATAATTGGATAGAACTGCAACGCTTCAAGAACCTAAACAAAGCCTGGTGTAATTTTGGAGTTATTGCCCTTTGTTCATTTTTTTTATACTTTCCTGTGTCCAGAACCTTCTCGGGGAGCATCACCCGGTTCAACCGGTTCTTGTTTAAGTTTAATTTATCTGGTTTAGGATCTTGGTCAATGCTGTTTGATGTATTTTGAAGAAAGTTGTTAATCTCTGCTTTTTTCGGAGCTGAAGTTAATTTCTAGCAGACAGTTAAAAGGTTGCAAAATATGACAACAAAAATTAAACGATTTTGTCTAGGCACTTCATATCTGCAGTATCATACAAATGCGAGCGTTTATAAAGTAGTTGAAACAGGCTAAATGCCAGATTATGGACTCCTTTAATTTCATTTCGATTAAACAATGCGGTAAATATTCCATACATGTTTATACCAAAGACAGTTAGTAATCTGTATATCTCAAGTGGAAATCGGCTAAGGTGAAATTCTTTGGTCAAAAAATATGCACGGCTGTTGTTTCATTGCTAAAAATAGTGCGCCAAAAACGCTCTCTTGAAGAAACACTGTCTAGCCATACAGAGATTTGTTATTAATAACACTAATAATTGGCTTGGTAATTCCAAACTTCATTGTTTTTCAGATAATTATGTGTCTCAATATGCAGTGTATATTGGCCAAATATAAACTCATTGACAGGTCTTAGACACTAATTAAAAACATAGAGTCACACCCTTGTGGACATTATTCTAGCCACTTACCAATGGACATAAAAAAGTAGATAGAATCTTAATATGTGCTAGAATAATGACAAACACTTGTGGACAATTCTTAGTCACTCATCAATGGACACTTAGTCACTCTGCTGTGGACATAATTCTAGCCACTTACCAATGGACATACAGAATAAGATAGAATCTTAATATGAACTAGAATAATTACAAACACTTTACTTATGGACAGTTCTTAGTCACTCATCAATGGACACATAGGCACTCTCTTGTGGACATAATTCGAGCCACTTAACAGCCGGCATTGAGAAGGACTCTTCGATTGCAAACACTTTAATTGTGGACATTTCTTGGTCACTCAGCAATGGACACATAGTCACTCTCCTGTGGACATAATTCTAGCCACTTACCAATGGACATACAGAATTAGGTAGAATCTTAATTTGAACTAGAATAATTACAAACACTTTACTTATAGACAATTCTTAGTCACACATCAATGGACACATAGGCACTCTCTTGTGGACATAATTTGAGCCACTTAACAGCTTGCATAGCGAGGGACTCTTTGATTGCAAACACTTTAATTATGGACATTTCTTAGTCACTCATCAATGGACACATAGTCACTCTCCTGTGGACATAATTCTAGCCACTTACCAATGGACATACAGAATTTGGTAGAATCTTGATATGAACTAGAATAATTACAAACACTTTACTTATGGACAGTTCTTAGTCACTCATCAATGGACACATAGGCACTCTCTTATGGACATCATTATAGCCACTTAACACTGGACATATAGAATATGAATTTAATACACTTTACTTCAGCCACTTTATATGGATGGACATTGAATCTTTCTAGGCTCTTATCAATGGACATATAGAAGTAATCTTAATATGAATGATTACAAGTTCTTATGAACAGATCTTAGCCACACATCCATGGACACTGAAGACTGTAAAAATTAATGATCACAAACACTTAACTTCTAAACATTTATTTATTAATCACATTTTTAAAACATTAACATACATTATCTTTGCCACAGGTCAACGGACAATGGAGAAAGCACCATTATAGACAAAATTACAAATTAAGTTGCATTGTATTTAGGAAATGTATGTGTTCTTTTGTATATTTTGTAGAAAAACTGAAGAACAGACCCGCAACTTTAAAGTGTTTCGAAGAAGACTTTGAATGGGCTGCTAGAGAGGTTGAATTTGCATTTAATCGGAGTGATACCAGTGGCACTAGCCCACATTCTGCCAGTCAGTGTGACTCTGGTGGTGGTGACATAAAAGAAAATGTGGAAAACAATGCGTCAGGACCAGTAGAAGAGGCAAACACTCTGACAGAACCCTGCATCAATACTCAACCCACTGCCAGTCAATGTGACTCTAGTGGTGGTGACATAAAAGAAAATGTGGAAAACAATGCGTCAGGACCAGTAGAAGAGGCAAACACTCTGACAGAACCCTGCATCAATACTCAACCCACTGCCAGTCAATGTGACTCTAGTGGTGGTGACATAAAAGAAAATGTGGAAAACAATGCGTCAGGACCAGTAGAAGAGGCAAACACTCTGACAGAACCCTGCATCAATACCCAACCAACTGTCAGTCAATGTGACTTTGAGTTTGGTGACATAAAAGAAAGTGTGGAAAACAGTGTGTCAGAACCTATAGAAGAGGCAAACACTCTGACAGAACCCTGCATCAATACCCAACCCACTGCCAGTCAATGTGACTTTGAGTTTGGTGACATAAAAGAAAGTGTGGAAAACAGTGTGTCAGAACCTATAGAAGAGGCAAACACTCTGACAGAACCCTGCATCAATACCCAACCCACTGCCAGTCAATGTGACTTTGAGTTTGGTGACATAAAAGAAAGTGTGGAAAACAGTGTGTCAGAACCAGTAGAAGAGGCAAACACTCTGACAGAACCCTGCATCAATACCCAACCCTCTTCTAGTCAGTGTGACTTTGAGTTTGGTGACATAAACGAAAGTGTGGAAAACAATGTGTCAGAACCAGTAGAAGAGGCAAACACTCTGACAGAAACCTGCATTAATACCCAAGCCACTGCCAGTCAATGTGACTTTGAGTTTGGTGACATAAACGAAAGTGTGGAAAACAGTGTGTCAGGACCAGTAGATGAGGCAAACACTCTGACAGAACCCTGCATCAATACCCAACCCTCTGCCAGTCAATGTGACTTTGAGTTTGGTGACATAAAAGAAAGTGTGGAAAACAGTGTGTCAGGACCAGTAGAAGAGGCAAACACTCTGACAGAACCCTGCATCAATACCCAAACCTCTGCCAGTCAATGTGACTTTGAGTTTGGTGACATAAAAGAAAGTGTGGAAAACAGTGTGTCAGAACCAGTAGAAGAGGCAAACACTCTTATAGAACCCTGCATCAATAGCCCACCCACTGCCAGTGAGAGTTCTGAGTGTGATAACTTAAATGGAGGTATGAAAAACTACATGACAGAAACAATAAAAGAGACTGAAACACTGATAGAAAGCGGTGAAAATACAGAGCATTCTTCCAGCGAAGGTGAATCAGATAATGATTACATTTCAGTTATGCCATGCAGTTCTAGGTATAAAAAATATTCAGAAAGTGATCAGTCAGAATCAGAGTATGTAGAATGTTCTGACCTTGAGGAATGTACTGATGTTGGGGCATCAGCTGTTCATGGCCCTGTGTTGGATGAAAAATACAAAAGTCGTGACATAAATCTTCCAGACATCTACATTAGGAAACTTAGGAAAAGCGCATATAGTTCAAATGCACAGGCAGCACGAAAAAAAGCGTTCAATAAGAGGGTATATGATAATTATCATGCTTGCCTGTACTGTGGTGTCATGGTCCAACATATTGATACCCATCTACGAAATAAGAAACATAGGAAAATTCCTGATGTAAAAAGATTGCTCGAGGAAGAAAAACCAGATTTCTTGGGAATCCAGAAATTAGGGGATCACAAACACAATGTGAGAGTTTTGAAAGAAGGACGTGGTGAACTCATCTTGAACAGACACTACAGCATTAGACATACTTTTCTACCAAATGAAATGCTCACATGATATTCAAATTATAAATTTATGCTAAAATGAACATTTAATAATCAAAGTATGCACAAAACAGCACGTGCAAGTTTAGTTACTCTCTCTCCCCACTGTACAGAAATCAGCCTATCAAATTTCATCATCTCTTCAGCATGTAGGCTATGGGGATTATCTTGCACCAGAAGTGCCCATTTTGCATTGACTACTCTTATTAGATCATATTTCAGCTTAATTGCGTTACTAGGTGACTTCAGGTCCTCTTCATCATCCATATATGGCATACAAACATTGAATTGTTGCTGCCATTAGAGCGTCATAGTATTTAGTTCTGATAAACTCATCTAAAGCCTTCTCAGCATTTTTCTCATCTGCTTTCCTTAGTTCAATCAAAAGTCTTGCCATCAGTCTCATGTGTTGAGAAGTGTAATATTTTCTTTTTGCTTCATTATCTATGGACCTTCTTAGCCAACTCTCTCCAAGAGCTACAATGAGAGGGTCATTTTGTGCCACTGTACCTATATCATCTCTAGTCATAATAGGAAATACTTCCTAAAGCATCAGTTTAGAAGGTCTTGTACTGATGACTCCAGCAAGAACCTGGCTCTGCACTATAAGCTGACCCTTCTTTACCTTTGATTTTCGTGTAGCACAATTTCTATAATGCTGTTTTAAGTTTTTCAACAAAATCCACTGCTTACACTCAGGACATGGCCCAAACTCACGTACATCAAGGTAAGTGCTTGGTCTCCTTCTTATAAAATAAGATGAAGAAAGAGTTGCCAAGTCCAGAAGATGTTATGAAACTGACGAAGCACATTGTCAGTGAACTAGAATCGACAGCTCTCACACCAGAGAATTTCTTTCGAATAGTGCAGTTGGTACAAACTAGACTGCTTCTTTATAATAAAAGGAGAAGTGGAGAAATTGATGCTGTCAGGTATCCTGTTAGTTATATTAATTTTTCAGTTGTTAGTCAATTCATTAAATATGATAACTAAAACAGATGTATGTGACTGTGCATACTTTGATTATTAAATGTTCATTTTAGCATAAATTTATAATTTGAATATCATGTGAGCATTTCATTTGGTAGAAAAGTATGTCTAATGCTGTAGTGTCTGTTCAATCAGAAAAAATACTACAGTAATGATAGCCGGAATGTTAAATATATACTATAACTTAATTGTACATGTGGTGTTTAAAGATCTTTTACTTTGCAGCTTGGAAAGTTTTGCTGGTAAAACTAAGGAAATAGATGATTTGGATCAGTCAATGCTAGGTGAATTAACAAAAGTAGAGCAATACCTGCTGAAAACACAGGAAATGATGATAGTCAGAGGAAAAGTAAGTGTAATTGTGTTTATGTTGTATGCATTTGGTGGCATTAAGATTTTCTTTACTTCAAGAAAAGATCTTAGTAAAAGTATTTTAATATTTCATTAAAGTTCCATATTCAGCAGGTCACATGAAAATAATATGATTGCTCAAATCCTTGTTTAGTGCTTCATGTTCTCAGACTTAGTGTTAGTACTTGAACTCTGCTTTTGTTTTCAGAAAAAAAATGATCATATATACATGTATCTATGCCTATAAAATAGCAATTGCCTAACATACTTTTTTGTAATAAATATTTGGACATACACAGTTGCCGTTTTGTTGTATGTTTTTTGTTTTTTACAGGGAAACAGACCGGTCCCAGTTCTTATTCCAGGAGATGCCAAAGAACCTCTAGAGTATATTGCTTCTTGGCAAGCAAGACAGAGCCAAAACCCCGCAGCCAACAAGTACCTGTTCCCAATCAATGGTAATGCTATTTCCCAAGCTTTCTCCCATTAAGCTTGTTCAAATCTCTACACACTTTAATATTTGCCAGAAGACCTTTGAATGTTGATTTATTTAGAAAAAAACCTGAAATATTACTTTAAAAAGTTCCTTAATTTAATTTAATTATTGGATAGACTATAAAGAACTAGGAATTTCCTGTTGCTACCTTAGGCTGTGAATTACAATTTCCAAAAAATCAGATTGTTAATTCTTAACTCTTACTCACCTAGATCCTTGACCTTAATATGACATACCTTTCCTTAAAATAAATTATTTTTCAAGTCATTTAACTAAGAAAAGACTTAAGGCCAGGTTTAGGTAAATATGTTGCTCTTGTTAGTTTTTGTTGTTGTTTTTTCTGTTGTTCCTGAACTTCCTTTTGCAAGCTTTAAGTATTAACAGTGATTGATGCATGTATTTTAACACATTCTCCTGTACAGGGTTGACACACATGAGGGCATATGATTCTCTAAAACGTACCTGTAGTGAATGTTGTCTGACTGCTCCCAGTAGAATCACAAGTGTATCAATGAGGAAGTACACAGCCACATTGTCTCAGGTAAAATTTTATCTCTGTCAGGGCTCATAGTTGGCCAAAATTTTTACCACATATTGTCACATTTCTAGTCTGTTACTGTAAATTAATATTTAAAACTAACAGTTTTCTAGTTGTTTGTTGGTTTTTGCAAGCAGTCTATTTTATAAATGTTTTATTTATTTGATGTCAAGAAATGTGAGGTCATATTCCACACTTGTATGCCAAAAAGAATATGTGGTAGATGTGTCATAAAAAATGTTTGATTCCACAGGTCCTAAATCTAGACCCTTACCAAGTAGAATGGCTTTGTCGTCACCTGGGACATTCTGCAGATATTCACAAGTCTTATTATAGACACATGTCAGGATTTGTTGAGAGGGTCCAATTAAGCAAGTTGTTCTTGGTACAGGACCTTAACATGACAAGCAAATACAGAGGAAAAAATCTTGAGGAGATAGACATATCAGGTACAATTGATTTCGGATGGAAAATAACAAAAAAAAGGCTGAACTTTACATGCAGATGTACTTGTTTCTTTATATGGTTAACCATCAACATGTTCATTTATTGTTCAATAATCAAATAGTTATAGAAATTTTCTTTTCTGCAAACTTTCCTCAGCCCTTGTCGGGTTTAAACTGATTCTTGTTTGATTGGCATATTCTCATGTTTGCTGCAAATATGCCAAATGTTTTACTAGTTTATAAATTGTAAAGCATTACCTGATGTAATCAGAACTAACATTTACTTATTACATGTTACACAAGCATAAACACATGTATTTCACATCTTATCCTGACATTTGCTGAAAATTAAACATAACAAGATATGTTTGTAAAACATGTATACCCCCGATCAGCAGCCAATTAGTCATGTGATAAGGTTATTATGCATGACTTCTGACCCAGTGATCAAACAATTAATAAGGGTTATCAAGTATAACTGGTCATGACCTTAACCTTTGACCCCTTGACCCAAAACTCAATAGGGGTCATCTGCTGGTCACGACCAATCATCATACAAAGTTTTGAAAGTTTCCTAGGCCTAAGCGTTTTTTAGTTAATTGATCGGAAAAACCGTTTTAACATACAAGGTCAATGTGACCTTGACCTTTGACCCCTTGACCCCAAAATCAATAGGTAATCTGCTGGTCATGACCAATCACCATACCATGTTTGAAGTTTCCAAGGCCAAAGGGTTCTTAAGTTATTGATTTGAAATCTTTTTTAACTACAAGGTCAATGTGACCTTGCCCTTTGACCCCTTAACCCCTATATCAATAGGGGTCATCTACTGGTCATGACCAATCATCATACCAAGTTTGAAGTTCCTAGGCCTAAGGTTCTTTAGTTATTGATCGGAAAACCGTTTTTTACCTAAGAGGTCAATGTGACCTTGACCTTGACCCCTTGACCCCAAAATCAATAGGGGTCATCTACTGGTCATGACCAATCACCATATCAAGTTTGAAGTCCCTAGGCCTAAGGGTTCTTTCGTTATTGATCGGAAACCGTTTTTACCTACAAAGTCAATGTGACCTTGACCTTTGACCCCTTAACCCCCAAAATCAATAGGGGTCATCTGCTGGTCATGACCAATCACCATACCAAGTTTGAAGTTCCTAGGCCCAAGGGTTCTTTCGTTATTGATCGGAAATCATTTTTACCTACAAGGTCAATGTGACCTTGACCTTTGACCCCTTAACCCCAAAATCAATAGGGATCATCTGCTGGTCATGACCAATCACCATACCAAGTTTGAAGTTCCTAGGCCTAAGGGTTCTTTTGTTATTGATCAGAAACCGTTTTTACCCAAGAGGTCAATGTGACCTTGACCTTTGACCCCTTGACCCCAAAATCAATAGGGGTCATCTACTGATCATGACCAATCACCATACCAAGTTTGAAGTTCCTAGGCCTTAAAGTTCTTTAGTTATTGAATCGGAAACCGTTATTGCTTACAAGGTCAATGTGACCTTGACCTTTGACCCGCGATCCCCAAAATCAATAGGGGTCATCTACTGATCATGACCAATCACCATACTAATTTTTGAAGTTCCTAGGCCTTAAAGTTCTTTAGTTATTGATCGGAAACCGTTTTTTGCTTACAAGGTCAATGTGACCTTGACCTTTGACCCCTTGACCCCCAAAATCAATAGGGATCATCTACTGATCATGACCAATCACCATATCAAGTTTGAAGTTCCTAGGCCTTGAGGTTCTTTAGTTATTGATTTGGAAAACCGTTTTTTGCTTACAAGGGTCAATGTGACCTTGACCTTTGACCCCTTGACCCCAAAATCAATAGGGGTCATCTACTGGTCATGACCAATCACCATACCCAAGTTTGAATTCCTAGGCCTTAAGGTTCTTTTAGTTATTGATCGGAAACCGTTTTTGCTTACAAGGTCAATGTGACCTTGACCTTTGACCCCTTGACCCCAAAATCAATAGGGGTCATCTACTGGTCATGACCAATCACCATACCAAGTTTGAAGTTCCTAGGCCTAAGGGTTCTTTAGTTATCACTCGGAAACCATTTGGTCTACGGACCGACGGACCGACAAGTGCAAAGCAATATACCCCCTTTTCTTCGAAATGGGGGCATAATAAAATAAAACAATATGGTTAACCATTTATATATCGGCAATATTATATGTAGGGAATGTTTTATATACATTTTGCCATCCAGATCACTGGATTGATAAGTAATCAGTCACTTGCACAGAAATTTGTGAATAGCGCTTATTCATCTAGGATAGATGGTATTTAGACCTGACCACCGAGATAAGACTAAAAATAACTTTTTTTTTACACTTTCAGATTTGATTTTTCCCGACTCTGAGAATGTAGAAAGAAGGTAATGAACATGAGCTTGAAGATGTTTTAGATGAAAAAGATGTTACCACAAGTATATGTTATATAGCATTTTGATAGAAGTAATTGCTATACAAGCAGGATTCCAAATTATTGTGTCTGTGGTCCAAGATCACTTGGGATTTGGTGCAAGGACCACTGCAGCTGGTATATCAGACTATCTTGATTGATCTAGTTGATAGTAGATACGTGATTTTTGCAGAAAAAATATAGTTCAAACATTGTCAATTAGCATTTCTAACAAAT